GTTCTTTTGAGGATCACAGGTTAGCTGAGATCTTACTGTCTGCTTAAATGGAAGATGCTTTGGGACTCCCTTTTGTGCAGGAATCCCCTACTACAGCATACCTAACAGATGGTCACATCTCTAGCAAAAGAGAATCTATTCTCCTGAGGCAGACTGTTCTATTGTTGAAAAGCTTTTATTATAAAGATTTTTTTCCAGATATACAGATTACATCTATTTCCGTATAATTGAAACATATTGGTCCATATCCTATCTTTTGAAACAATTCTGAAAATTTCTGTCTTTTATATTGTATGGCAAGCCTTTAGATATATGAAGACAACTATCTTGATCCACTTGGTTCTGTCAACATCCTTCTTTGAATGTGATGCCCAGAACTGGATGCAATATTCTAAGCAAGTCCAATAAATGAGAATAAAGAGAAACAAAGAATTCATTCATCGTTGATACAGTGTATGATTTTAGATTTAGAATAGATCTGGAAGGGATCTCGAGGTTTTACAGATTAACAGAGTTGGAAAGGACCTTGTAAATCATCTAGTCCAACCCCCCACCTAAGCAGACCCTGCACCATTTCTGACAGAAGGCAGTCCAATCTCTTCTTGAAAGCTTCCAGTGATGAAGCTCCCACAACTTCTGAAGGCAAGCTGTTCCATTGGTTGATTGCTCTCACTGTCAGAAAATGCCTCCTGATTTCCAGTCTAGGACTACAAATTTTCACATGTGTTGCTGTCAGTACAGTTCTCCCCATCCTATACTAATGGTTTCATTTTTTTTCCTACATAACTTTTTAATCATTGGGAAGAAACAGAATCCTATGCAAATGTAGGATTTTGCAACTGTCTCTGCTGATACATCCTTTGCTTCTCTCTGCCCAATGTCTCAGCTTGTAAAGGCTAGATCTTGATACTCTCCAATAAAATGTTTGCTATGCCTTATTTTACTGTGGTCTGTAAATCTGATAATCCTATTTTCTAACCCATCATCCAAATCATTTACAAATATGTTGAATAGCACAGGGCCTTGAACAGAGACCACTGAGATGCCATTCAACATATCTTTACAGAAAATCATATTTTCTGAATTTTAACCAATTTCCCCCTTTGGTTTAAGGTGCTGCCTCTTCTAATAGATTGTTTTTTTTACTATATTGTTAACGGCCTGCCAGTTCATTTTAATTTGGGGAGCTACTGATAGACCATATTGGTTAAACCTTCATGTGTGAACAAAAATGGGTTTTTGTCTTTCCCACCCTCTCTTAGTTTCATTGGAATATAAGACCTACAAATAATGGCTTAATTTACAGAGGTTATAAAAATTACTATACATGCAAAACTGGTTGATAGGCCAAGCACAATCATTGTTTCATTACTTACTAGCTGGACGCCTGTGCTTCGCTACGAAACTATGTGCTTGGGCTTGATAAATCGACACTTAGTTTGAAAATTAATGAATAGTTACGATCAGCCTCTCCTCTCCCCTTCTCTCCCTCAAGTTAGCCCCACAGAAGCCTCTCCTCTCCTTTCCCCTTCTCTCCCTCAGGTTGGCTCCACAGAAGCCTCTCTTATCCTACTCCCTTCTCTCCCTTCAGGCTGGCCCCACAGACCCTCCTATCCTCCTTGTCTCCCTTAGGCTGGCCCCATAGATCCTCTCCTATCCCATTCTCTCCCTCAGGCTGGCCCCATAGACCCTGTTCTCTCCCCTTCTCTCCCTCAGGCTGGCCTCACAGATCCTCTCCTATCCCCTTCTCTTCTTCAGGCTTTCTAGCCCCTTCTCTCCATGAGGCTTGCCCCACAGAAGCCTGTCTTATGCTATCCCATTCTCTCCAGAGTTATTTTTAAGTTGGGAGGGGGAGTAGAATGTCTAACTAATTAGCATCAGAGCTTGTTATAATAATATAGGAAATACTAATGCTCTGATAGTTATTTCGAAAAATCCTTTCTTAGTGAGCACCTAGAAGCCAAGAGGAACATACGTGGCAAATTTCAAGTTTGTAGGCTTTACGGTTCTGGAGATTTTGTGATTAATGCGTGAGTGGTTTTCGCTTTATATATAGATTTCTTTTAATAAATGGTAACAGAGACAAAACCTATTCATTGTAGATACCTCTCCTTATAGAAACAGCAGTTCTCTGAATCCTTTAATGAAGTAAACTTCTGTACTATTATGAGGAAACAGAGGTTACAGCAGGATTTCTGATTAAGGAAAAGTAAGGGGGGGGAAAACCCACTGCCCTCGTCAGAAAGTCATCATCCAGAGATATTAATTTATAAGTGCCAACTGAAAATAGTGTTCTGAAATTAATGTGTATTTACTTGTATAATTATATGTTGCCTACAATCTTACACCTTTCTACCAATGCCATTAAACTAATGGAAAACATAGCTATAAGGAGCACACCAGGGTTGATAAATGTCAGGCTCAAGTTACATATTCACTGATTTCTTTCATATCAGCGCAACACGCCATCTAATGTGCATTACTACTCAGCCTTTTAAATGGGTTATTCCAAACACATTTACTGCAATTTAGTTTAAAAGCAGCTTTGATTATTCATCTAAAAGTAAAATGGTAACCCATACCTTAACTTGTCTGCCATTCGATATGTTAAACAGCCATCATTCCTTAAACCTCCTTTAATAAAGCACACTGTTATTAAAGCACTATGGTATGCCCTCCGGAGCAGAGAAGCTCCATTAAATTTGCTTATGTCTAATTATTGCTGCCCTAGGCAGGTGAGAAATTTAATCTGATAAGATCTTTCTTTCTACCTGTAGCCAAAAAAGAAAAAAAAAGAGGCAGCCGTTTTCTATCTAATTGCTATCTACAACTATTTATGGTATTTGTGCTCTGAAGAAAAAAATGCCACAGAAGGTTCTTTGTGTATCAGTAAGCACATTCTAACTTGTTCCAACCTAGTGAGGTACAAAGACAAGTTTATCTTACTTAAGGGATGACACAGGTCACTGGCAAAATAGCCCCTGCAGTTATTTTGTCTGTCACTCAGAATCTGCCTATTTCTCTTCCCTCCCTTTAAAAAAAAAAGAAGAAGAAGAAGAAGAAGAAAGGAAGGGTTTTGGATTGCATATATAGTGATAACTTGCATTTTGTAGAATTTGGGCTTAAGCATAAGAACATTCTAGACATTAATAGCCAACTAACAACCCAACTGATCCTCATTGACCAAAATTTGAAAGAGAAAAAATAATTAATTTAAAAATATTTTTAAAGACATTCTTTCCCAGGTGGACCAGTGTTTACAATTAGCAAAGTATTAAATACAACAGAAACAACAAAATAATGAAGCAAGTTTTAGAAAGCAGTAAGAATGCATCAGCATAATTTAACTTTTTTAAATTTCCCAGGCAAAGAAATGTGTTTTGTCTTCACACCAAAGGACCACCAATTCGGAACTAGTTGCACTTTCCTAGAATATTTCCAAAAATAGTGGAAGGCTGTGGCCTATTTGGAATTGGGCCGCATGAGTGGCTGGCTGGAGTTCGTGCATGCATGCGCAACTTAACTTGCGCGAGCAGCGGATACTCGCACACTGCACGCTGGCCCACCACTTGAGCAAGGATTATGTGTGCTTGCGTCAGCCTGGCACTCACACAGCCCAGTTCCCCTCTTCCCCCTCCAGCCAGGCTACCAAGCCGCAAAGGTTGGGGACTGCTGAACTAACCAGCCATAACTTACTTATATTTAGCTTAGTTGTATAATGTATAACATTATATAATATACTTAGTTGTATAATGACTCTATTCCAAGATATCTTAAAATAAAATGTTTTCTGTTTCTGTATCCCAAGTTTTAAACAAGGTAAATTCTTATAAAAACAGTTCACCTCATAGTTGAATATATGATTTAATTCACACCAAAATTATACTGTGCACTTTATCAGAAATGTATCTTTAGTCACTCATGTAGAACAGATTCTTTCCTATTAGATTGGCTATTCTTTGGTCTAATGGGCCACAAACCCCTATTGACCCCAAAAGTAAAAAACCTCTTTTTATCAAATTTTACACCCAAGATCTCATCTAATAACTTTGTGTGAAATACTATAGAAAGGACTGTAATTCTGAAATGATGTATTGGCTATTAATCTATTTCTCATCAGTTTGTGTAGTTAGAGAACCACATACCATTCAGTAAGCCTGAAGTTATTAATACTCTGCTTGGACTGATCTTAGTGGCCAAAGTATTTTCTACAATAGGTCAGTTCAATGTGAAAATCACAATTTTGTCAATGAAAGTCACCGTGGTGATTCTGGAGTCCACTGAAATTTTTTCCTATGTACAATTATTCTTTAAACTGCAAAACCCAACTGCCCTTGAATAATTTTTCAAGTGATAAATTAACTTTGCTGAATGCTACAATGGAACCATGTACCTAAAGAAAGTAACAGAATAACATACAACTAAATCTGGATTGAACAGAACGGAAAGGACAAACCTGGATAGTAATAAATATCTTTTCTTTATAATTTAGGAACAGATTATCTCAAGATAGAACAGGAAAATACCTCTTTGATCATGCAAAGTCATTTATTGATTGATATTAGTAAAGATTTTACTTAATTCTTTTCATTAGAAGCGCCTATGATTTATGGTAATAGTGGTCCAATTTCTAGCATTTGTATAACTCTTATGGGCATAATGGAAATGATTATTCTATAAATGAACTTTTCTTGAAAAACATACTCTGTGCAAATGTAGTGAAGAAAGTCAAAATGATTTTTCTTTACTTTTTTCACTAGCTGGTATTAAAAATATTTGAGTAGATCCATTCATTGTTTAGACATAACGTTGTGCAACTGAAATTCCATTCCTCATATAGATATATTTCATACTTCACTTACTCCTGATGCAGTTTTCTGCCCTTGAGTACATTTTAATTACAAAACAGATTAATACATTCCTGTGGCTATGTTATGGTATTGATTGCTTATTGACAAAGTAGATTCACCACAGTTAGTAGAGATAGTTTGAATTCTTACCGATAGCTGCTACTTTTATTATTATGGCTTGAACTTTCAAGGATATAATTTCTCTCAGCAATTTGTCTTGATTCTGGCGCCACAGGTATGCTAAAGGCTGCAGAGCAAGCCTTTTACAACTGTTCACAGAAAGAAAAGATGGATGTGTCATTATAAGTAAACACAGATCATTTAACTCTCTAAGCAACATTGCTTAATTTAGACAATTACAATAGGTGTACATTAGTAAGAATAAAAAAAAACGATAGCTAAATGCAACATTGAATCCACACATTTCCCCTTGCAATGAATTTTTTCTGCTCCACACCTCCTATCCAATCTGTTGCTCACAATCTGTTGTTCTGAAGTATGTCTCAACTTGCATAGCAGATATAGAGGGCAACCATGTAGATATTAAGCATTTCTTCTTGCATCTACAAATGGAATGACATTATGGGATCCCATTTAAATAGTAACTATGCCATGACAACACACTTCATCAATACTTTCAGGTCATTATAGCTCTTCGGTTAAATCCATTTTCACTGGCTTTTTTTCCATTTCCACCCACCCAGCCACCCCCTTCAATCAGGGTCATCAGAAGAAGATTAATAGAGAGACAATGCCTTCTCTACCTGCTGAAAGAAAGAAAAAAAACCCAAGCTAACACCCAGCAATTGGTATTCAATTTGAAGAGTCCAAGAGTATTTGAGTTATTTTACCAATGGTATCTTGGCACAAAAAGGGCCTCCTTAAAATGCTAGCTTTTAAAAATTGAAAACAGAAAAAAAAAAAGGAGAAAAAAGAAGAGGAAGAGAAGGGGGTGATGAGGGAGTGGGTAGGGCAGCAACAGCAGCAACATGAATGCACTGTGAGACTGGCAACACTAATTGAAAGAGTAATCAGAAGCAAAGGAACATTCAGGCAAAACAAATGCAGAGTTTCAGAGGAAAATAACAATGAAAGGAGTCAGGCAAAAGTCTGAACAGATGCACTTTAGAATGAAATGACACATTCAACCAGATACTTCTGCATCTAGAAATCTGGATGTAATTCTTTCCTTCTTTAAAAGATAGACTTTATCCTTTCTCTTCCCTGTAGCCCCATATTTCACTAGATTGACGAAGAAAAAAAGCCTCCGGCAAGCTCCTTCCTTGCTACCTAACCTCAGCGGAGTGAGCAGAAATGTATTTATTTGGGAATTTAGCCAAATGCCCTCTGGGGTTTCTTTTCTAGAAGTAAAGATTCTAGGCAAATGTTATGTGCTTTCTGACTGACACGAACCTCTGGAGATTTACTTGGCTAGGAGTGCTCATTACACATTTAATTAATTCAAGCAATGCTGCCTTGGTAATATGTAATATAAGGTAACTACCTGAAATTTGGAGTGTCAATGGCTAGCCATTGATTTTTTTTAAAATCAACTTTAGTTGCTACATTGTATGTTGTCCTTAAAGTTACAGGCATATGTAACAATTCTAAGGTAAGCAGAAAAATCAGTTTGCACCATTCCAAAAAATTGGTTAGCTCCATGTTCAGCCACCAAGTTTTCATAATAAAGTATAGCATCTGAGGTTCACTTGAATAACCATACATTATTCCATACTATTCTATCACCTTTATTTTTCACAAACTTGTAAATTGACATAGATTAGGCTTTTTTTTCACATACCCAGGACATCCACACAATGTATCAGATAAAAGAATGATATTATTATATATTTTATATGGCTAAACTGGAATAACAAAGAAATATCAGAATGTCACGCAATTAGTTCCAACTGTCTAAAATAAAATGAACAAGACAAAAAAAACAACACCACCACAGCATTTCAATACCATGTCAAAAGTTGCTAATTAGATCTTAAAATAATAGTGTAAGAAGATAAGTTTCATATGTAGTTTTCAAGTAATAAAAAGATTTCAAATAATAAAAATAAATATTTTCCAAGCAATTCACATGCATTCATAGTATCACAAAAGAAAGAATAATTTGGGACCACTATAGCAACATTATTTACACACGTTTAACATTGAAGTCCCTCTGGTGCATTCCTAAGCATTTGTTCTTTCATTTCTATTAGTAGAAAGTTACTGTGAAAAAAGTAACTTGTTTGGGAAGCAGAAACCTGTGGTGAACACCCATCAGTGTGCTTTAAGCAATGTACAATGTTTGAAGCTTTGATTACCCAAGGTACATCTTCAATTGAAACTCATTGCTGAATGCAGGTTGCTTATGGTGATGACTATGGTGGCATGAGTATTGCTCATTGCTGGTCCAAAAATGTAACAATGAACCAAGAAGAACTGATCAAAAAGGAAAATGTGTGATAGCAACAAGAACACATGAAAAAGGTTGATGAACTGATTAAGGACAATTGACAGATCACTCAAAGAGAAATTTCTATGAACAGTTCTTCAGAGGTTTTGTGCAGGATGGCTTCCACCCGAGCTGACAGCACAAACGAAAGCTTCAAGAGTTGAAATTTGCAACAATTCTTGTCATAATACAAGAATTTTTTACTGCCTCATGATAGCTGCTGAAATATGGGCTCATCATTGTGACACAGAAGTGTAGTGTCAGTCCGTGGAATGGAATATAATCACAAAACTAAATAAATTCAAAACTCAGGTTTTGTCAAGAAAATTTATTCATACAGATCATGCTATTCACATGGATCTTCTTAAACCATGTACCACTGAACTCAGAACTTTATTTTACAACACTCAAAACTGACCGAGTAGAGTTTGGAGCCACAAGAAGGAAATTTTCCTGCAATACAACAATTTTAGGTTTCACAATTTACAAATTGCAAAGTATGTAGCAAATGGAGATGAAGTAAATACAGGTAACAATAGATTACAAAAGGATTATTTTCATACTTATTTTATCAAAATACCCTTATTTAAAGTTATGGAGGTAACTGTGTTAGTGTTTTCTTTCAACTCTTATATGTTTAGATAAATTACTGCAAGATTTAACAGGAAAGGATGGGCTTCAGTTCATGAAATCTATATTGTTAGAAAACAAAAGCCCATAAAAGATAGGAAACATATAGCTTATCTTCCCTTTCTTGATAGGATTCCCATTTTTAAGACTTCAGTCTTTTTGATTTGATAATTATATGTTTAGGACCATTTAGACATTTAATGAAATATTTAATGAAACGTTATTACTATGCCATCTTATTTGACATAAAAACAATAACGTTTCTGATCTAGCCCACACCACAGAAATCAATAGCTCTGTGGCCATGTATGACATGTTGCCCTTACACTGTAAGCAATGTCTTATTTTACTTACACATTTTCCACACGGACTCGTTGATAATCTGAAAGAATGGCCCCTACTGAAACAGCTTCTACCCCTTCTTTATCCTGCAAAACATTAATATATAAAAACAAATTTAAAATAAATCTGCAAAGCAGTAACAAAAATTCATAAATCAGTAGCCATTAACAAGAGATCCCTTTAATTTCACTCAGGTGGATTATAGTGTATAATAATTTCTTTGGATCTGGATAATATTTTATATAGTAAGTTGCAGTTTTATTATGTTACACACTATATAGACTAATTTGAGAATTACAGTATGCCTATTGGAAATCCTATTTTATGTAAGCAACATACTATTGAGATATTTTTAATAGATTATTCCAAATCTAAGATTTTCAAAAATTTGTTGTATATAATCTATTGTGCAAAATATCTGAACTGGCATTATTTCTCTTATAAATCTGTTGCAAAAGGGTTCAGAAAATAGCCCTCTATAATTGTAGTTGTGACTTGATTAGTAATTTCATGTTGTTCTTATAAGAAATTTCAAGCAAAAATAGAGGGGATCCTCATTCAACAATACCCTGAGCATCTGTTTGAATTTACAGCAGTGGTGAACAAGTGGTAGTTATGACCTCTCCTTGACCTTAGAGACATTGCAGCATCCCACCGGCACATGATTGCAATCTGCAATCTTCCCTGCCAACTTCCAACAAGCAAAGTCAATGGGGAAGCCAGCAGAAATTCAGAAGTCGTACTGATGTGAGGCCCTGCTTAACAACCTGCATGGACCTCACTTAACAAAAGCAAGTGGGATTGCTGGAAGCATTGTCAGTAAGTGGTACGTCAGGTGGCTTTTTGATTAGCGAGGACTACCTATATTGAGAAGTGAACCTCAAATGGATGCATCTTTTATACTGCTTATTTCTAAAAGGCGCTACTTGTTTTTCTGAACTATAAGAAAAAGTGTATGATGCTATTGCCAATATTTTGGAAAGATCTCTTCCTTCCCATTATTGCTGTGAAATGTGAACTCATATCAGTTCACCAAAGTGTGCAAAACAGATATACAGTGGGGCAAAAAAGTATTTAGTCAGCCACCAATTGTGCAAGTTCTCCCACTTAAAAAGATGAGAGAGGCCTGTAATTGTCATAATAGGTAGACCTCAACTATGAGAGACAAAATGAGAAAACAAATCCAGACAATCACATTGTCTGATTTGGAAAGAATTTATTTGCAAATTATGGTGGAAAATAAGTATTTGGTCACCTACAAACAAGATTTCTGGCTCTCACAGACCTGTAACTTCTTCTTTAAGAGGTTCCTCTGTCCTCCACTCATTACCTGTATTAATGGCACCTATTTGAACTTGTTATCAGTATAAAAGACACCTGTCCACAACCTCAAACAGTCACACTCCAAACTCCACTATGGTGAAGACCAAAGAGCTGTCGAAGGACACCAGAAACCAAATTGTAGACCTGCACTAGGCTGGGAAGACTGAATCTGCAATAGGCAAGCAACTTGGTGTGAAGAAATCAACTGTGGGAGCAATAATTAGAAAATGGAAGACATACAAGACTACTGATAATCTCCCTCGATCTGGGGCTCCACGCAAGATCTCACCCCGTGGGATCAAAATGATCACAAGAACGGTGAGCAAAAATCCCAGAACCACACGGGGGGACCTAGTGAATGACCTGCAGAGAGCTGGGACCAACATAACAAAGGCTACCATCAGTAACACACTACGCCGCCAGGGACTCAGATCCTGCAGTGCCAGACATGTCCCCCTGCTTAAGCCAGTACATGTCCGGGCCCGTCTGAAGTTTGCTAGAGAGCATTTGGATGATCCAGAAGAGGATTGGGAGAATGTCATATGGTCAGATGAAACCAAAGTAGAACTGTTTGGTAGAAACACAACTCGTCGTGTTTGGAGGAGAGAGAATGCTGAGTTGCATCCAAAGAACACCATACCTACTGCGAAGCATGGGGGTGGCAACATCATGCTTTGGGGCTGTTTCTCTGCAAAGGGACCAGGACGACTGATCCGTGTACAGGAAAGAATGAATGGGGCCAGGTATCGTGAGATTTTGAGTGCAAACCTCCTTCCATCAGCAAGGGCATCGAAGATGAAACGTGGCTGGGTCTTTCAGCATGACAATGATCCCAAACACACCGCCCGGGCAACGAAGGAGTGGCTTCGTAAGAAGCATTTCAAGGTCCTGGAGTGGCCTAGCCAGTCTCCAGATCTCAACCCCATAGAAAACCTTTGGAGGGAGTTGAAAGTCCGTGTTGCCCAGCGACAGCCCCAAAACATCACTGCTCTAGAGGAGATCTGCATGGAGGAATGGGCCAACATACCAGCAACAGTGTATGCCAACCTTGTGAAAACTTACAGAAAACATTTGACCTCTGTCATTGCCAATAAAGGATATATAACAAAGTATTGAGATGAACTTTTGATATTGACCAAATACTTATTTTCCACCATAATTTGCAAATAAATTCTTTCCAAATCAGACAATGTGATTGTCTGGATTTGTTTTCTCATTTTGTCTCTCATAGTTGAGGTCTACCTATGATGACAATTACAGGCTTCTCTCATCTTTTTAAGTGGGAGAACTTGCACAATTGGTGGCTGACTAAATACTTTTTTGCCCCACTGTACTCGTGTTACAGCTTTAATGCAAAAAAAAAAAATGTTAACAGTTGTACAATTAATCATTCTGTTATTAGCACCAGGACAAATATCACCAAAGCATGAGGTTAATTTCCCATTCAATCAGAAAGCAACACTGGTACTCAAAGATTAGAACATAATGCCAGCAAGATATAGAAACCATACAAAGATGAATAAAAGTATTCATAGTTTTAAACAACCAGTATATGCAGTCATTAACAAAACAGCAACAGGGAATTTGGGAAGGACCCAGATGTAATTTACCCTGTATATAGTCAAGCTATGGAACTTGCCACCACAAAAATAGTGATAATTATCAGCAGGTTTAAAAGTGGATTATACACGTTCAGAGAGATTATGCTACTAATGGCTATTAATCATATTGGTACCTGGGGAACTACTCTATCTTAACTATAAGCTTCCCATAAATATCTATTATAACACTTTACGAGCAGAATGCAGGGCTAGCTAAGTATATTAACTGATTCAGCAGGACTTTCCTATTATTATATTTCAATTATATAAAACCTCATTAGAGTATGTATTTCTGGAGGTGTGTATACTTTTCATTAAGTAATTTGTAATCTTCAAATCTCCCACCACCCCTTTTACAATCTGATAAGTAGGGAGGATCCTTTCTGAGTTTCCTTCTCTGTCCGGGGTGAAATCCAGCAGGTTTTGACAGGTTCTGGAGAACTGGTAGCAGAAATTTTGAGCAGTTCGGAGAACCGGTAGCTGAAATTTTGAGTTGTTCGGAGAACCGGCAAATACGACCTCTGGCTGGCCCCAGAGTGGGGAGGGAATGGGGATTTTGCAGTATCCTTCCCCTGCCACGCCCACCAAGCCACACCCAAGTCACACCACACCCACCAAGCCACAGCACACCCACCAAGCCACAGAACTGGTAGTAAAAAAATTTGGATTTCACCACTGTCTCTGTCCATTATTTATCTGTGGGCTAGGCCCACATGACCATTCCCGCAGACTCAAACTTGAGACAGATAAGAAATATAGCGAAAAAAGCAACCAACAAGTGCAGCTGTCTTAGAATTACGAAAATGCATCTCACATTGTCCTTTGTCAGCTATAAAACAACTGAAATATTAGGTAATGCAAAGCCAGCACAAGGGAAGATGCATAATTATGAGTGATTTCCTTAGAGAAATGGAGCCACTTGCTACCGTCAAACAATTTTCTAATTAAAAGCAAATTTAACGGAAGAATGTCTCTGAGAATATAAATAACAGGGATGTGGTCCTGTAGCTATCCAGTAGGAATGTTTTCAGTACATAACCTCACATTCTTTGCTATGAGATAATCCTTCAAGTAGTTATGCAAAGCCTTTAGGAGGCAAACAGTTTGAAGGGGGATTTTGGCCCATTATGACGCACTCTTCCACATGGTTCATGTCACATCAATGCTAATTTTTCTCATTCTTAAAAGATACTCAAGTTATTATATGGCATGTCCTATAACAGTGATGGCGAACCTTTTAGATACCGAGTGCCCAAACTGTGTGCGCACGCATGCCCAAACTGTGAGGTGTATGCACATGATTGTGTGCATGCATGGACATGTGCATGCATGAACAGATATGTGTTAATGTGCGCATGCACGGACATGCACGTGCGCATGCACAGCACAGACGCAAAGACCAGCTGGCCGGCAGGAGGCGGGGCATCCCAATACCAGCAGCATGGCAAGAGGTAAGATATTTCCTGCAAACAACGAAACAGAAGCTCATGAAAGAAACGCCACGGAGATCGGACCTGGAGTGACAGCCCTCGTGCCAGCAAAGAGGGCTCTGCATGCCACATGTGCCATAGGTTTGCCATCACGGTCCTATAATGGGAGCTGCACTGGCTCCCGGTGGTCTTCCGGGTGCGCTTCAAGGTGTTGGTGACCACCTTTAAAGCGCTCCATGGCTTAGGGCCGGGGTACTTACGAGACCGCCTTCTGCCACCAATAGCCTCCCACCGGCCAGTATGCTCGCACAGAGTGGGCCTCCTCAGGGTGCCGTCCGCCAGACAATGTCGGCTGGCGACCCCCAGGGGGAGAGCCTTCTCTGTGGCGGCGCCCACCCTCTGGAACAACCTCCCCCCAGAGATACGTACAATAACAGACCTCCGGATTTTTCGTCGGGCCCTGAAAACCTATTTATTTCAACTAGCTGGGCTGGCTTGAGTTAAATTTTAAATTGATTTTAAATTCGGTTGTTTTAATTTACGGCCAAAATATTTAATTATTTTAAACTGTTTTTAAATTTTGTATGTTCTGTTTTTTACTTTGGCTGTTCACCGCCCTGAGTCCTGTTTGGAGAAGGGCGGTATGGTAAATAAATAAATAAATAAATAAATAAATAAATAAATAAATAAATAAGCTCCACAGTCTATATAAATCTATATAAATCTATTACA